AATGTAAAGGATGAGTGATTTCGACCCTTGCATATCGAATCATAACTTTTCAAATAGGAATACTCATTTGTATTTATTGATTATGAAATAAAATGTACATAAGACGTAAAGTTTATTTGAAATTTTATGGATTGATTATTGTGATCATGTTGATCAGAATAGCTCTCAATATGAGAAATTTGCATACGCCACCTGCAGTAGTACTTTACCGTATTATAGGAAATGATCTGCCACCTCGTCATTCAAGCAACCAAACATTAGTAAATGTATTATTTATTCTCGAAAATGAACCACTATTTGAAAATGTCGAAAAGATTTGGATTCTTAATCGTATTGTTAATACTAAACTTGAAGAAACTTTAATTAATTTATTAAGTCAATATAAACAATCATATATTCGCATTGCATTTGATTGGAATAAATATCGTAGAGTCTCATATTATTTTCCCTTAAATTATCCATCAAACGATTATTTACGCTCCAAAAATTTTTATAAATTAACTCCAATGAATAAAATTCGATTAATTGATACAATTTATCATAAAAAGAATCTCTATGCTATGAATAATAACGGAGCAAGAAATTTTGCTTTGAGGCATGGAAAACATCAAACTTATGCACAATGGCTAATGATCTTTGATGGAAACTGTTATTTATCTGAAAGTGCTTTTGAACAAATTCAAAATTCTTTAGTTAAAAATGGTTCTCGTATAAAATATTTTCTTGTTCCAATGATTCGAATTGTTGATAATCAAGATGTTTTTCGTCAAGTTAAACGTAGCGGTAGCGAAGAACCACAAGTTATTTTTCGACGTGATTCAGATATTGAATTTCTTGAAAACATAAGATATGGACGTGGGCCAAAAGAAGAAATACTTACTTTATTAGGTGCGATGAAATCTTTTTGGCGTCCGTTTAAATGGGAACCTGAAGGGCGAAAATCATCTGTAACATTTGAAAATAATATTACATTCAATCCTCGATTTCAATATACTTCCTTTGTCTTTCGTCTGTATTCAGGTTATCATGCAGATCACGAACTTTTAGATGGTGTAAGAGGATGCAGCCGTTTATACGGAATATTTCTATTTTTGGAAAATCTTGATTTACAAGCTGGTCGTGCGAAATTACTTCCACCTATGTCACCGATCAATTCAATTAATTGTACACCATGGACAACTCAAGAGATACAAGGTATTATTGAAACTGCTAGAGAAAGAGAAAGAAACTTTAACAGTCCATTCGAAACAAAGTAATTTTCCTGATAAAGAAAAGTCTTGAAAGAATAAAGCTGTTGAGTCTCTTACTTGCACTTCATTGATTTGATCGACAATAAAGTGAAAACGAAACAGATAGTTCTTTTTAAATTCCATTAAAAAAAAATCTCACGTAAAAACATCTAAAATTTGAGTATTTGTGACGGTGATGATCAGCGATTATATGTATGGCATAGGCATGCATTCAATAATTTTATACTGTCATGAATCGACTTACTTTCGTGACGAAAAATTTAGAGTAGACAATCTTCAACTTTAATCTATTTTGTTTAGGCATGAGATTTTTGAATCAGTTTATATGATATGAGATATCAATATAAGGATATTTAGTACACATATTATCTTAAGCCAACAGCTCATGCAACATGCTAACTGGAAAGTATCATAGTCATTAAAAAAAATGAACAAGACAAAAACCTTCTTTTCACTAATTTTGCTCGCGTCGGTTTATATCATATAACCAAATGAAATAATAGAACCTCAGTGCACATACAGTAACTAAATAACACGAATTATTCACATTTTGTTCTTCTTGGTCTTTTCAAATGCAAGCACTACCAATATTCCAAAGGGCACGTATCCCACCTTTTACACCTTACTCGTTTTCTAATATGGATACGACCGATAATAAATAACACGAGCTTCCTTCTTTCTCTCATCCTACTCATGTACACTACATGCAAGCCGAATCAATATAATACGCATAGTTTTCATTCAGCTATCTGCTACGTTACCACAGTACATGCGCTTGAGAAAACCTAGCTGCCCTAACTCTCTTTAATAAAAATATGTGTGTCTTTAATATTTGAAGTATTCTAGTTTCCCGCAGTACAATATAATCATCCATACTTTTTTATACTCACTCCGTAGATGACCATACACGCGAACTGCTTTTAGCCTTTTTAGATTCAAACCACGACGCTACATAAAAGTACAAAGTAACTGATTCTAGGTTTTTAGACAGAGATTAAATTAGTACAACACGGTATAAAATTACTGAATACATATTTATGAGATAGAGAGAATCGATATAAAAATTCAGAGTACAATTTGAGCTCGTATTTGCATAGTCCTCTATACTACTGCCTCAACATAACTTTTCAGTAGATATTCATTGTATATATATGACCCTTCAAGTAGATCTTTTAGTCTTTGTCTTTTGGTAAATAATACTTTTCTAAACGCTGCAGGTGGTGAAAAACTTTTCACAATACGTATTGCCGCATCGATTTCTGTTTCATTGTCATATTGTAACCACACAGCTTCTTCAGGTATAAATGTATGACTATCAAGAAGACGTTGTGTAGCAAGTAGTGGTGTTTGAGTCAAAATTGAACAAAAAATTGTTGAAGATTGTTTATTGATATGATAATCATCTCTAGCATAAAGTGGAATTATACCTATGGTCTGATGAATGAAAGAATAAAATGCATAAGCTGGAATGTAACTTGATGAAAGAAATAGACGAACACCAGGTAACTTCAGATATTTATGACGGTCTATGGTTTCTGCGACACCAATAATTGTAAAAACAATTTTATGTTGACCAAGAAGATGTTGATAGCGTTTAATATTCTTTGCGAAATAAGAATAATTACGTCTTGTATCATCTAGTTTACCTTGAATAATAAAATCATGATATTGTTGATATTGATCGTCTTCCATATGTTCAGGTAAGTCAAGTGGAAAAGCAGGCTTCCATACGTCCACCTTAAAATGAGTTGTCATATAATTTCGCGCAAAATATTTCATATGTTCAGCAAGTACAAGATAGCGTATGTTAACTCGGTTTTGCAATCGAAATGATGAAATATTTAGAAATATTTGTTCAAGTATTGGAATATCAACTTTCACGTCATGAAGTTGTAAAAGAATAAGGAACGATCTATTTTTATCACAATAATTCAGTAATACATAAAGAATATCTTCCAAGTGTGAGTTTGCTATTGTACAAATAATGATAATTGAATGTGAACAAATCATTGAGTGATAATTAATAAGGTACGTAACATGTTGTTGAGGTGTGGAAAGTAAATCACGTGACCATGATCTCGTCAGGTATGAAAATCCATTTTCATTATTGTAGCTAAGTGGCAGAAAATTAGTAAAAAGTGAAACTTGCCATTCACATCTTATTCGTGCAGTATACATATAAGAATACCAAACTTCTCCATGGTAACGAACCGCATTAACAATAGCTACTCGTACTTTCGACTGCACACGTTCAAATTGAGCAATAGAAGTTTCGTCTTTTACTTCTGACGCAACATATAAAGAAATACTAATGATTATAGTTAATAACACGAAGACTTCCAATAGTTTTTGGTAATATTTCAAACCTCTAATTAGTTATCGAGACGAATAAAACCACTTTAAAGATAACGGTTACCTTACCTTATTCTCGTACCATACTTAGTTCGTGTCATTTAAATGATGAAATATTTCTAAAGCTTACGCAGACTATACCCAAACAGACAAGAAAAAAAAATAGAAATCACTCATCCTTCACATC